AGCTGCAACTATTCTGACAACCTCAAATGATTCTAAGCAATTTTCAATTTACTAAAGCTATTAAGTTTGATATCTAGTGATGTTTTACTCCTTGCGATTCTAATTCATTTTGGCCTATGGTAGAATTTTAATGGAGGATTACTTATGTGCCTTGACATCTACAAATTTGCCTAAAATGGTTTTATATTTTACTATCTCATTATTTAATTAAGCTTTATATTCTGATATTTGACTATGTGCTTTCTATTTACAATGCCTTGATCGAAATCAGCTGGATTTTAAAAAGAGTGAAGACTACTACCGTAGGGTCCAGGCTAAATTTAGTGTATTCTGAACTCCCTCTAATATAAATTCCATAATTGAAGAGGCGCAAATAAAGCTTAATACAGAATCGCTTAGAATGGTCAGTTATTTATCTTTCCAGAAATTTCAGGTCATACTTACCTAACGGAGAGTAAACGTCTACTATAAAACGCTAAGCTGAGGTATTTTGTTTTGGCATTTCATCCACCATGGGTATTTTAAGTGTCTGAACCACAAAAAGTGAAGTTCAATCTTGTTATACGACTGAGCCTCGTCCCTTTCTACACTTAGCTAATATCTGCTGTAATTCTGATATAACATTTCGTGCAAGCATATTTTTTTCTCCATTTCAAATTCTTTGAATTTCTGTAAGTAAAATTACTTCACTTACTTTAAGGGTGCCGTTACGAATTCATAACTGGCTGTATCCCGCGTGATTTTAATTTCCCTTTTTTTCTCCAGCGCCCTTGAAGCAAATTGGAGTCAACTTTCTGAGCATTTTTCAAATGGGACGATATTTTTACCACTCTGCGGTAAATCCCTGGACTTAATCTGGCTATACAAGCATTCAAATTATTCCATCGTTGGGTGCGAATTTGTAGAGCAGCCTCTTGCAGAGTTAGCTGAAGAGAATTCTACTATTGAGCTGAAATTCACTTCTACTAACTTGAAAGACGGCTCGGAATGCCAGTTACTGCAGGTATTT